GACTGACTGACTGACTGACTGACTGACTGACTGGACTGACTGACTGACTGACTGACTGACTGACTGACTGACTGACTGACTGACTGACTGACTGACTGACTGACTGACTGACTGACTGACTGACTGACTGACTGACTGACTGACTGACTGACTGACTGACTGACTGACTGACTGACTGACTGACTGACTGACTGACTGACTGACTGACTGACTGACTGACTGACTGACTGACTGACTGACTGACTGACTGACTGACTGACTGACTGACTGACTGACTGACTGACTGACTGACTGACTGACTGACTGACTGACTGACTGACTGACTGACTGACTGACTGACTGACTGACTGACTGACTGACTGACTGACTGACTGACTGACTGACTGACTGACTGACTGACTGACTGACTGACTGACTGGCTGGCTGGCTGGCTGGCTGGCTGGCTGACTGGCTGACTGGCTGACTGATTGATTAATTGATTGAAAATTGAAGCTTCACGCTTCATGAAATTAAAATTATTACTCTTAAGTTTTAAAATTTATAAATAATTTAGAAACTTTTTAAAATTTATTCATTGGACGGCAAGATGGTGCAACGGTAAAGGCACTGGGTCAAGATTTCGCATCGACTGGATTCAATTGCACAGAAACCCCCGCCTATAACATGCAGTCCATGTGATTCGTGCATTCTCGCTAATTCCCATGCCTCTTTTGTTGACATTTTTTTAAAGAAATAAAGGGATAATTAATATTAAGAATCGTCTACCATTTTTTTTACATTTTGCTAGGTATAAACCTCTCTATAGAAAAACGACGTATAACCTAATGTACAAGTCTTTTGACATTCCTTTAAGGAAACTTGTCTTAATGCACCTTGTATTATCAACCATAATGCCATTGTACGTTGAATTGATCGCCCAGGTCTTTAATCAAACCCGGGAATGTCTTCATTGTTCTTTAATGGAATTCTAATTTCAAACCAAAAAATCATTTCTATTGTTACGTAGTTACTTATTGTAAGGTTTTTTTAATATAAAGAAAAGATTGATATGAAGATGAAAATTATGAACAATATAAATGAATTTTAATTAAGGAATATTACACAACAACAATAACTGATTTATTTATAAATATTTATACGTGTGTATGTGTGTGTTTATATGCGTGTGTGTGTTTATATGTGTGTGTGTGCGCGCATGCGTGTGTGTGCCTGTTCGTTTCGTTCTTTTTCATACTTAAGCATTACGACTGCATTGATTTGGTGCAATTTTTATTTTAATTAAGAATGCTTTATGTATATATATAAAATATGCGAGTATATATATATATATATATATATATATATATATATGTAAACGCATTTATATAAATATATATATATTAATTTAGACAATTTGTTTTGTTACATTACGAAGTTAATTTAACGTAGCATGTTATTTAATTCACTCTGAATTATTTTCATTAGCTTTTTCATTCACAGTTAGCGCAATAAAGTTAAGTAAACATTTTATTCTTCATTCGAAAAACTATACTGATTCATTTATAACTATTAAAATTACATCTCAGGAACATCAGGAGCAGCTGCAGAATGTTGAAAAACCTGGCTCTTGGGTCATACACGTACAACAGTTCCGCACATTTCATTGATTTTACGACGATTCTTACATCATATTTTTCTGTTGACGGTAAGAATGGCCTCTTAGATGACTCGGTGTTGTGCTCTGTGACGGAACCCGGGTTCGAATCCCAATGGATCGGTGTGGACCTAGGGAACATGTTCACTTTGTTTTACGCCATCCTCTATGTTGGAAAAAGTATTTGAAGTTTTTTGACAGTTTGAAATGTTTTTCTGCGATTTGTTTACTGTTATAGAAGAAATTAACTTCGAACTGTTTCAATTTAAAAAAAATTTGATGATGGTGTTTTCCAAATGGTTTTGCACGATTAATTAAAAAAGGTTCTATAAACAATTTTGAAATGAAGGGCAGTAAAACAATCTAAAAAAAAACATTTCAGTTGGTTTCAGGACAAAATTTAATGAGAAAATATTTGAAAATGTTCTTAAATACGCTAAATTCGAAGAAACTAATTTTTAAAATCTCAGATTGGTTAGGAAATTGGAACGGTCTGGACTTTTTCATAGTGGGAGTGAGCAACAGGTCCCTGGATGTTCACCCGCCAGTGAGAGGCACCTACGATCTCTGTGCTCAATATCCAGGTGTGGTTGCTCCGAAGCAGGTGGTTCAGTTGAATTGTTCCTCTACTACGCCTCCAGCCAGATACGTCATACTGCAACAACCTTCCAACTCTACTGGATACATGTCCGTCTGCGAATTCGAGGTCTATGGAATTTCATTCGGAAGTAAAATAAAATAAAAATTATTTGCAATCTCATAAATTTTTAGTAATTAAAAAATCAACTTCCAATTGGCAGAACAGCGCGTCAATTTGTTGCTTGGGAGGCCAGCATACAGCAGTTCTTTCCACTTCACAACCCACTGTCTAAAATGGTCGGGTTCTTTGGTTGTCGACGGATTTCACGACACCAACGTTGCCAACTGCCACTGCGGACACACGATCGATGAATTAGGCGGACCGAACTGGTACCTTTTCGACATGGAAGGTGGCTATCACATCGACTTCATCGCACTGACCGCAAGAGGATGGGAAGGTTAGGATCTGAAGTGATACATTTTGAGAAATTTTTGAAGACCTGATCGTTCTTTATAGTAAATAATAATAGTATAGTAACAACATTTGTAGATGCGCAAAAAAAACTCTTATAAAATGAATCGTTAAGGTCGAGATGATGATATCATGTCCCACCGCCTGGACAACTTCATAATCGGACTGACCGATGTGGACAGTTCAACATCAGCTCCACTGAGAAATAAATATCCAATGTGTGCCACATGGCCCGGCTACGTCAAACATGGGATCAAAGTCGAACTGAAATGCAATGCTAACCTGCCCAAATATAGGTACCTGATCGCACAGGGCAGTGCTACAGCTTCCGATGGCTTCTTCACCATCTGCGAACTGGAAGCCTATGAGCCTGTGGATGAAAGTTTGTACGCATCACATTTCAGCATTTTACCAATTTTTTTATACACGGATTTCTCCCGGCATCAATAAGTCCTGTCTAGACAAAAATGCTGATAAAGCAATTTTCTAAATGTTTTCACAAATATTGAATGTGGTCATTTGATCAGGAAGCACCATAATTTTTTTCTCATTCATTTTACATTTACTCATAATTTAGCGTTTGTATAATCTACATCTTCGAAGTGATTAATTTGTCAAACCTCAGACTGCTAGCAAAACCAAATTCCTGTGAGTTCTTAGTTGAACAGGTCTTTTCACAAGTTTGCCAACTTTTTTCGGTTCCGTGCAATGAAGTTTATAAAGTTTATATTATTATGTGACTCCATCAACTTCCATACAGCTTTTAAATTGTGTCAGTTCAATTCTCATGTCCATAAATCCATGAAGTCCATAAATTTTAAACACTGGATATTTGACATGCTTCTATGTGTTGCTACATCATTATGTGCTTCAGGCAGACTGGCCGCGAATATTGATCGTATTTACACACAAAATATGTAACAGACCCCAGTGGCAGATTTAGAAATGTAGGGATCTCATTACTATTTTCAATGACCCTTTCTTTTATGGAGTCTATTGGGGTCTGTCCACCCCTTGTGATTTGTTCTTGAGATTCAGATACACGATTTGAAAAAAGTTCAACAGATCAATCGCTATTTGTTTATCACAAAATTTTTTTGTAAAAATGATGAACTTCCCACAAATCATCTGCAGATGCCTTCAGATGGAAAAGAAAGTCAAACGTGAGATTGGCTGGATTCCAATTCAAGCAGTTGTACGTGAGGAGTGCGTTGGACTGCATGCATAAGTGCAAGCAACTGGGAGGATGTGACTCCATCAACCTCCATCCAGCTTCTAAATTGTGTCAGTTCAATTCTCATACCAATGGCTACAACACAACCTCTCTTACGTCTGAAACCAATTGGTCGTTTTATACGGTCAGCTATAACTAGGGACATGATGAAAATGATACTAATAATATCTATCTATCTATCTATCTATCTATCTATCTATCTATCTATCTATCTATCTATCTATCTATCTATCTATCTATCTATCTATCTATCTATCTATCTATCTATTTTATTTATTTATTCATATACCTAACAATTTAATAAAAAAAAATTAGATACACGAATGATGAGTTGAAACCCATTTTTATTTTCGTTTTAATGGGTATTGATAAAAATTCATTCATACATCTACCTCGTATCTATATCTATATGATATCTATTATCTATCTATGCGATTGTCGATTGGTTCGTTATCGCTCGTCAATCGCTCGTAATAATACCTTGATATTATTAATAATAAATCACGCAACAATAATAAAATTAATAATAAATAATGATAATAATAATAAATAAATAAATAAACAAACAACAACAACACAACAAAGAGTATGGAAAACATGAGCATAAAACCTGATATAACATTAATCGAATGATTGGTTGGTTGATTGAATGATTGATTGATTGAGTGTTTGAGCGATTGAGTGATTGATTGATTGTTAGATGAATTTAAATGAATGAGTAAAAAAATATGTGCTAGTATATATTTACATACAGCAAATACAAAAAAGATGTTCGATTTAACGAATTCAATTGATCAGTTTATTAATTGAATTTAACTTAACTATTGAATTCAATTAGTCAATTAATCAATTAATTAATTAATTAACTTGATTACATCTAAAATGAAAAAATAAATAAAAAAAAATGAATGAACAAAACAAATCAGATGATAGTGATTAATTATTATTATTATTGTAAAGAAAAAAAAATTGAGTTGTAACAGAATGCGAATGTCCTAAATGAAGGTTTTTTTTTGGATCGTTATCATCACCGACGTAATTACGTCATCATCATCATCGTCATCATCATCGTCATCATCATCGTCATCATCATCTACATCATCATCTACGTCATCATCATCTTCTTCCTAATTTCATCCACGATCACTTCCTCAAGTACTGCAAAATAAAAACACGGAGAATATGATTTTTGCTTTTTGTTTTTTAGGATAATAATAATAATAATAAATCAGCCATTCGTCCATCCATACATCAATTAATTTATGCATCTATTCATTCGTCCATCCAAACATCCATCTATCCATCTATCCGTCAATCAATCAATCAATCAGCCACCAAGCCAATCAATCAATCCAATCAATCAATCCAATCAATCAATCCAATCAATCAATCCAATCAATCAATCCAATCAATCAATCCAATCAATCAATCAACCAATCAATCAACCAATCAATCAATCAATCAATCAATCAGCCAGCCAAACAACAAACCTGGGTAAATTTATGCATCTGCTCGATGATCACAGCGGCAGTGGCGTTCAAACTGAACTCGATCAGATTCTGCATCACCTGGACGGCTTGCTCGTCTGATAACTCTAACTGGAATCTGTCTAACACCTGATTTGTTGTTGGTTGGTTGGTTGATTGGTTGATTGATTGATTAGATGGTTGGATGATTAGATGGTTGGTAGATTAGATGGTTAGCTGATTGGTTGGTTGGTTGATTAGATGGTTGATTATATGGTTGGTTGATTGATTGGTTGATCGATTGATTGGTTGGTTGGTTGATTGATTGGTTGGTTAGATGAGTAGTCGTTTGATAGGTTGAATAGTTGAAAGATTTATTTATTATTATTATGGACAGGTTGTATGTCAATGAGTTGATTGATCAACCAAAACCAACAAACCAATCAACCAACCAGCCAACAAACCAATCAACCAACCAATCAACCAGCCACCATACAACCAACCAACCAACCAACCAATCAACCAACTAACCAAACAACCAACCAGCCAGCCAAACAACCAACCAATCAACCAACCAATCAACCAACCAATCAACCAACTGACCAGCCAACCAGCCAATCAATCAACCAACCAACCTTCTTGACAGTTTTATCTGGTTCGAGAGCAATGTCGGGAACGTTGGCGTCAATCATTAACGAGAAGAGGTTCAGAATCAGACTGGAGGACCTGATGACGATGATTGTTACGATGATAATGCTTATTATTTTTATTTTTATTGTTAATACTACTACTACTACTACTACTACTACTACTACTACTACTACTACTACTACTACTACTACTACTACTACTACTACTACTACTACTACTACTACTACTACTACTTTACCACTAATCACTTTACCACTTACTACTACTTAATCAACAACAACAACAACAGCAACAACAACAACAGCAACAACAACAACAACAATAATAATAATAATAAACCTTCGGAGGTGCAAGAAGGTAGTGTAGCAGAGTTGCTTAAACTCCGTGAACTTCTCCCCGGTCACGCCGCCCATGGGTTCGATCATTTCTTTGGTCAGCTTCATGGGGGGTGGGAGGATTTTGGGGTCACGCCCCAAAATGTACCCGAAGTCGATGTGGAAGAGTTTGCCTAGTTGGGGTGGGGTGAGGGTGATGATGTTGGTGATGGTGGTAGTGGTGGGGGTTATGATGACTGAGACGATGGGGATGATGATTGTGAGGGTGTTGATTATGGTGGTGATGATGATGAAAGCGACGATGATTGTAAATGGGACGATGACGTTAAAAACAATGATGATGATGATGATCATCATCATCATCATCATTACAATCGTCATCATCATCAGAACCGACCTGTCTTAGTGATGAGCAGATTATCAAAGTGCCTGTCACCAACACCAAGCAAGTACGTTATGACGCAATATCCGGCTGCAAGAAATTAACATAATTTATTCATTCATTAACTAATTTGCATAAATTATTATCCACGCGTTTACTCGTTCGTTGAGTCATTCATTCATAAATTCATCCATTCATTCATTCATTTATTCATTCATTCATCTATATCCATTAATTAATTAAGCTGTTTATTTATTCATGTATTTATCTATTCATTCATTCACTCATTAATTAATTCATAAATTAATTCATTCAACTATTCAATCAAAAATTAATTCATTCATTAATTCATTCCATTCATTTCTTCATTCATTCATTCATTCATTCACTCATTCATTCATTCTTTCATTCATTCATTCAGACAGACAGACCCCTTCCGACAATTAAAACATGAACAGCAACAAACCACAGCTCCTGATATAATTATCCAAAATCTCGGGATGAATATTTGCCGGAAGCGACGACGATGACGCAGCTGCAGTGGGATTGTTGACGTCATAAGATGACGACGAAGACGGTGGGGATAGTTTTTTTAAATAATTTACGATGGAGCCTTCCGTTGAGAGGATCTCGAGAACTGTCGTCGATTCTATGTACTGCACGAAGCCTTCGTTGATTGGTTGGTTGATTGAGTGGTTGATTGGTTGGTTGGTTGATTGGTTGGTTGATTGGTTAGTTGATTGGTTAGTTGGTTGGTTGGTGGGTTGGTTGATTGGTTAGTTAGTTGGTTAGTTGATTGGTTGGTTGGTGGGTTGATTAGTTAGTTGGTGGGTTGATTGATTGGTTGGTTGAGTGGTTGATTGGTTAGTTGATTGGTTGGTTAGTTGATTAGTTGGTTGATTGGTTTGTTGACTGATTGATTGATTGATCACCTGACAGTTGGTTGTTTATCAAAAAAATTGTGATAATGACAACTTCGTTTTAAATACTGGCAAGGATGATCATCATCATAATGATGCAGATGACGATGGCGATGATGATGACGATGACGATGATGACAGTCAAAAATTACCGTGCTTATTAGCGGTTGCTAAAACTTTGTAGGGAGTCAATTTCATGTCAAGATTTTCTCGCTTTAGAAGCTGACGATGTTAAAATAACAACAATAACAATCCTACAACCACCACTACTACTACTACTGCTGCTTCAACTGCTACTACTACTACCACTACTACTACTACTACTACTACTACTACTACTGTGTTACAACAACAACTACTACTACTACTACTACTACTACTACTACTACTACTACTACTACTACTACTACTACTACTACTACTACTACTACAACTACTACTACAACTACTACTAATAATAATAATAATCATAATAATCATAATAATGATCATAATAATAACAACAACAATCATCATCATCATCATCATCGCCTACCTTGTCCATAAGCTGGAATATTTGAAGTACCAATTGATCCTGACGAAGGTCATCGCCATTTTTGAAGATGGCAATGTAATTGGTGGATGTGGTGGTCTTCATGGTCAGGCGACAGGGCATTAGAGCGCTCTGATTGGTTGGTTGGTTGGTTGTGTGGTTGACGATTAGTTGGTCGGATGTGTGATTATTTTTTTGATTGGCTGGCTGATTTTTGATTGGCTAGTAGTAAAAGAACATCTTTTTAGAAACCTTGAATAATGTAGCGCTTTCGACATCGATCCCCCAAACGATGACGTCAGGATCGAGCGGAAATGGAATGGGATCGAAACTGACCAACGTTCTGCCATGATGGTCCCGCTCTTTCAACAGGGATTGTAACTTCTCTATCTGTTGTTACCATCATCATCATAATCATCATCATTATTTTCGCTACTATCATCATCAGCATCATATCATCATCATCACCTTTCTAAATCTATTTCCGGTTTCCCTGGCGACTGTCTGAACGACTTGAACCAACTTATCGATGAATTGCTCTTGAGCCACGAAGGATGATCTCAACAGCTGCCACTGTCTGCAGCCCTAGGTGTACGTGTGTGTGTGTGTGTGTTTTTGTGTGTACGTGTTTGTGTGTGTGTGTACGTGTGCGAGTGTATAGTTATATAATCAATATATAATCAATCCAATCAATCAATCAATCAATCAGTCAATCAGTCAATCATTCAATCAATCAATCAATCAACCAACCAACCAACCAATCAACTAACCAACCATTTTACAATCAGCCAACCAACTGACTGACCAACCAACTGACTGACCAACCAACTGACTGACCAACCAGCTGAACAGCCAACCAACTGACCAACCAACCAACTGACCAGCCAACCAACTGACCAACCAGCTGACCAACCAACTGACCAGCCAACTGACCAACCAACTGACCAACCAACCTTAGCAAGCATCCTTATAAACCGGGCAATGACCGTCCTGTACATGTTGTATATGTAGGCGTCTTGTGGAGCGTTCCTCTGCTCGTCCTCACATTCAACACGCAGGTACCTACCGAGCAAGTCGACCAATCAAACAATCGGTCGGTCAGTTCAGTTGGTCAGTCAGTCATCCATTCATCAATTCGTCCATTCATCAATTCATCCATTAATCGATCCATCCATTAATCGATCCATCCATTCATCAATTCGTCCATTCATCAATTCATATATTCATCAATTCATCCATTCGTCCATTCATCAATTCATCCATTAAACCATCCATCTACCAATGAATCAATCAAGCAACCAACCAGTAAAAATAATTTGCCAGCTTGGCATTCTTACATGCTCTGTGTATCAGGAACGAAGCCAAATCCATCTGTGACTTTGAAAATGAACGAACGAATGGGATGAATGAACGAATGAATGAATGAACGAACGAATGAATGAATGAATGAATGAATAAATGAATGAATGAATGACGACGACGATGATGATGATGACGATGATGATAATGATACTTAAACAAATTTTATTTGTTATAAAGCTTGTACGGCCACCCTAACCAAAAAATAAAAAACACACATTCATTATGAAATAACAGAACAGTTGAAATTAAAAATGCAAATGTCAAAATCACACACAACTGAAACTTTTAGTAATATACATATGAACAACCACATACATATAAAATAACAGATAATTTGAAAGAATGAAAAAAAACTAATTAACAAATGTCAGTATGCGGAATTAATTGCTGTTAATAACAGTAAAAATTATTTTTTTTTGAACTGAATGTAGCTCTTATTACAGATGAGATTCTGGCGGTAAAAGATCCCGTAATTTTAAACCAAGATGAAAATGGTTCTCAGAGAATATGAAAACCATTCAGCCAAAATGTGACTTAAATTGAGGATAAAGTTTTGATATGGTTAAAAGCAAAACAAGGTCAGGTTATTTGTCTATTATTGGTAGAACAAAGAGAAAGAAGCTTAAAACATTAGTAATAATTTTTGGACAGAAAAGCATGGCATACGTGATGCTGATAACGATGTTGAAATGTTGATGATGATAATGATCTTATTACCTCGGGATTGTTTGTGGAAAGAGAGTTCTTTCTAGAGTTACACGTCTGTATAGTCTCGTCTCTGGTGGTTGAAAAAAAATTTATTTATAAAAGTGATATGCAAATTTAGCGCCAAATTAATCAGCCAGTCATTATCTCCATCCATTCGGCAGTCCAATCACAAGAAGGATGCATACAACAAATGACCAATCAGAAAAAAGGAAACATACAACAACTGGCCTATCAAAAAAAAGAATACATACAACAACAACTGGCCAATCAAAAGAAAGGGTACATAAAAAAAACTGACCTATCACAAGGCAGATTGCTAGCTGTAGCATTGGCATTCTGTTCGGGAATTGCTTCGTAGTGGCTCATCATCTTACCCATGGTGCTGTTGACTCCACCTCCTCCCAATCCTGCATTCTGATTGGTTGTCAAGTTTGATGACGCCATTGATAACGTCATCAGCGACTCCATCTCGAATTGGCTTTGAATTTCTTGGAAGTTTTCGTATTTGAGGGCTTGGACCAATTGCAGAATGTATAATATAAGGTCCTGAGAAAAGATGGATTGTGATTGGTCGGCTGAATTGGTGAGTTGTGGATCGAACGATTTCATTGGCTGGCTTATGTATGAGGCAATGAGGCCCTCATCCATTCACTCATTCACCCATCAATTCACCCATTCATCCATCAATTCATTCACTAATTCACCCATCAATTCACCCATTCATTCAATCATTCACCCATCAATTCACCCATTCATCCATCAATTCACTCATTCACTCACCTCATCATCAGTTTCGTTGAGCCTGGCCACGGCGTACCTGCGGATGTCTGGGTGAGTGAATGACGTTGACAGCAACTCCAATGCATCCTCACTGTCCATTGGCGCCCATCTGGTGACGATGATGACGATGATGATGATGATTGTGGTGACGATGATGATGATGATGATTGTGGTGATGATGATGATGATGATGATTGTGGTGGTGATGATGATGATGATTGTGGTGGTGATGATGATGATGATTGTGGTGGTGGTGATGATGATGATTGTGGTGGTGATGATGATGATGATGATTGTGGTGGTGATGATGATGAGGAACTGTGGTGACGATGATGATGATGATGAGAAGGAGGAGGATGACGATTGCAGCGATGATGATAATGATCCTAACTTGTTTATAAGATCAAGGGCCTGTTTAACTTCCTCCTCTATTTTCCACTGAACTGATCGAACAAATTTCGTCAGTGCCTGGTTGAATGAATGATTGAATGAACAAATGTATGAATGAATGAATGGATGAATGAAAGGATGGATAAAAAAATGAATGCGTGGATGAATAAATGAACGGATGGATGTACGTATCGATTTTTGAGTAAACGAATCAACCATGAACTGAAAATCCGCAATTAAACATGTCGGTCAGTCAATAATTTCACCGACCATCCAATCAGAGAGTAGCAAAATCAATCCAATCAACCAAACAACAAAATCAATCAACCAATCACGCACCTTCTTTTGAGATGACAGATAAAACCGGAACCTCCAAATGAGATCTTTATCTTCAGATGTTAGCGTGGTAGTGGGCGGGTACAATACCAGAGTCTGTTGTGATTGGAGAAATGGTGGATTAATGGGCGGAGTTATAAATGTTAACTTAGACGAGACGTGATTGGTCCATCTAAACAGCAATGATGAATTGTGATTGGTTGGAATTTAGACGAAAACTTCAAATTAGCGAGCATAGCACTGCTGCTACCCATTCATCCATCTATCAATTTATTCATTCATTTATCTATCTCTTCAATCATTCAATCGTTTATTCATTCATTCATTCATTCATTCATTCATTTTCACAAACCATCAGTCTATCCCTGACTGCAGCATTTGGTTTCAGATCTCGGTCGGTCAATCCAGTTTTAAGACTTCGAGCTAGCCTGAATGATTGATTTGATTGGTTGGTTAGTTCATTCATTCATTCATTCATTCATTCATTCATGTAAAAATTCATTGATTCATTCACTCGGTTACTCGCTTACATACTCACTTGAACATTGATTCGGTCTTCCCTATTCACAAAACTTTTCATTCCCCAATTCATTCATTCATTCAATCCCCAATTCATTCATTCATCCATTCACTCACTCATTCATTCATTCAACAAACCTATAAAATTTCTCCTCCACCAAATTGTCCATTCCAAGTTCAGGGTCGTACAGAGTGCAAAGGTCGCCCTCCGCTTCAAGATTCAAGACCTCGTCTGCACCCTAATCATCAGAAAAATGGCGGGAATATTTATTATTTATTTATTATTTTTATTATTATTACTATTTATTTGTTTGTTTATTCATTTATTTTATATTTATTTTTTATTTTATTGTTAAGTTATTTAATTGTCTGTTAATATGATTAGTTGTAGCGAGTTTGTCGATTGAATTATCTACCAGCAAGCACGCAATTATTCATTCATCTATTCATTCATTCATTCATCTTTCAATCTACTAATTCACTCAATCAATCAATTATTCATCCTGCAATCCCAAAAACCAACCGGCTCAAAGTAAGCAACTGCGTACGGGATATCATTGATATGGAACCTGGGGAATTCCACATTTAAAAATAGCATATTTGATTCCCGCTTTTGACGTTCGTTGATTAGTTCGATCTCCCTGAACGTCAACCTATCCAGCCAATCAATTTTCGGAATCTGGCCGTTACTGTGTTTCTTCGTCAGCTGATTGGATGATGGTTAAGCGATCGAGTTTATGGAGCGATTTGATTGGTTGATATGATGTGGATGATTATTAATAGTAATGCATGCCGTGATTTGATTGGTCGGTGAGTGAGGAATGATGATTGGCTGAGGCTTCGCTTCGCAGACTTAATTAACTGACCTTGGCCAGTCTACTCATTTCATCATCTTTACTCTTCAGTTTGCCAGGTGTTGAATTATTGTTCCATCTGCCGTCGCCCTCTTTCTTAGGCCACACCTTCAAGTCATACATGCCCTGCCTCACCAAGCTGTCAATCATATTTCAAACCGACCAATCAGAAAAAAGTAAAGAAGTGTAATAAATAAACTTACATATACATTTTACAATGCAAATTATTATTTGAGCATCTACTATTATTACTTTTAAACAAAAAAAATGAATGAACGAACGAACGAATGAATGAAAAAATGAATGAACAAATGAATGAAAAAATGAATGAACGAACGAATGAATGAATTAAAAAATGAACGAACGAACGAAAAAAATAAACAAATTAATGATTTTCCCAATCATTTTCATTGAACATTATTTTTTCGAAGCAAATGAATGAATTAGCAAATGAACGGACAAACAATGGACAAACAGACAAACAACAGAACAAACGAACAACAGAACAAACGAGCGAACAAACGAATAAAGGAATGAATTTCACTCACGCTTTCTTACTGAAGAGCTTGATAGAGGTGCCACCGATGAACATAATCTTCTCTGAGTTGTAAAGGTCACAAATAGTGAAAGCTAGTACCGTCTCCAAAGGCAGCTCGCTGTACTTGAGAGGGAGTGTCAGCCATTCATTCCAACTGTTGGTGGAAGGATAAATAAACGAATGAATTGGTGAATGAATTAATGAATTGGTGAATGAATGAATTAATTAATTAATTGGTGAATGGATAGATGAATTAGTTAATTAATGGCTAAATGAATGATTAAATGGGTGAATGAATGAATGAATTAATTAATAAATGGCTAAATGAATGATCAAATGGGTGAATAAATGAATGGATGAATGAATGAACGAATGAATGAATAAATGAAATAGCAGACACCAAACACCTTAACCATTACACCATCACCACAAACAAACAAACAAACAACAAACAAATAGGAACAACGGCAAATCTCCCTAACTTCCATCTCCTGGTAAATGTTTTGTAAGCCGTCTTAATGGGCGTAGCCATCGGAGTGTCATTATAATATAGCTGGCATGACACGTACAGATCTGGCACTCGATCCTAAAGTTTTTTTTTTAGCAAAAAATAATTTAGCAAATTTTTGCAAATAATTTTAAAATTATTTTATATACACGCACAGTCAAATACACACACATTCTTCACATAAACACACATATACATATATATACATACATACACACGCATACATACACATACATACATACATCCATCCATACATACATACATACATACATACAAACAAACACACCTGATATGATCCAGTAAAATATAAGTACGGATCAGTTAGCAGTTCGATGTGAGTAGGTTTTGTTATCTGCCCTTCCAACGTTCCACTAATCAGTTGGGGAATGAATTAAAAAAATAATTAAAATAAAAAATATCTGTCAATAGTGATAATAAAATACATTAGTAATTAAATTTTAAATATAGGTGCTTTCAAACAACAGGCAAAGAGCTAGAACCATAGCACATTTAATCATAAAATTAGACACAAATGTACATGTGTAATTACATTATATATATATATATATATATATATATATATATATATGTGTGTGTGTGTAGAGTTTATATAGCGCTCGTTCAAGTTCTCACAAACGCTTTATCCGACAAGTGCGCTTTGATTCTTTTTCTAAAAATCACTTTATCAATCTCATTTGTTTTCAGCTCTGTTGGCAAATCATTCCACATCCTTGGGCCATACACTGCAAAACTTCTTGACGCCATTGATGAGTTTACCAACGGTTTCTGAAAATCATTGTTTTTGGAAGATCTTAAGAATCTACCCGCCACTGTTATTGGTGTTTTTTTGCACAGATCCATTAGATATTTCGGAGCCGAACCTTGCATACATCGTTTCATCATCACCAAAACTTTGAAAACGATTCTGCTTTCAATTGGCAGCCAATGTAATTCACGAAAAATTGGGGTCACATGGTCATATTTTTTTCCTTGTACTATAAGCTTCGCTGCCCTGTTTTGTATTGATTTTATCCCATATATTGTTGACTTTGGACATCCGCTCAGCAAACTGTGGCAATAATCAACCCGACTGACCACAAATGCATGGATCATACTGAATTGATGGTTCACATGTATTTATGTACAGTGTGTGTGTGCGTGTGCGTACGTGTAAATTCTTAAATTAACAGTTATTTATTTATTAAATGATGAAAAACTCATAAAAAATATAAAAAATGATCAGTTCAGTTCTTCAGCTGAAAAGAACAAGAGAAAGCATTACAAACCAAAAACTTCAAAACATCCGAAACTAAACAAACTAATCGAACAAAGCAAAAACTTAAAACTGAACAAAGAAACATGAGGTAATTTCACTAACATTTTAACCTGGACATTTAAATTGTGTTCGCTACTCCGGATAAAATGAAAATTATCAATAGCCCCAACGTTTGCCATTTTATGCAAAAAATAATTTTTGATTATCAATATATTAAATTTCTTTTCTTTAATAACGATTTCTTCAATTAAAATTAAATCAAATCAACCCCTTCAACTTTGACGTTAAGTTAACTTTTAAATAATAACAAAGATACTTAAAAGTGAATCGAGGTTATAAATAATTAAAATAACTTCAAAAAGTTGAACAGCTGATTAGAGTTTTATAACTTTTAACTTGAAATAAGTTAAATTTTTAAGAAAATCTTTCTAGATATTTCTGTATTTTTTATTAAAAACGACATTTCGTTTTAATAAATAGCAGAAAATAAGCTAATTTTTAGTAAAAGTTTAGAGGAAATAAAAATTTTTTACATTCAAATATAAATCCTTAACTCATTAAAGCATATTCAACTTCATTGACTTCTCACTTCTATAAGAATTAATTATTTGTTATACCTATAGATTGCTTCAGTTACACACACACACACACACACACAACACACACACACAACACAACACAAACAACACACACATAACACGATTTTTGCAATAATTAGACTGGAATCTCCATGAATTTGTACTCTGTCACTACAACAAAGGGACACAATCCCACAATGCTATACAACGGAGTAGCATCAATTGATTTGCCGTATAAATTTAGGAACCATCTAGAAAAAATTATTTACTCAAAATAGCTACACAAACCGGTACAGATATACTTGCATACATACCTAGATTACATACTAATAAAAAGGCAGGCAAACAAAATCACACACACACACACACACACACACACACACATACAAACACACACACAAACTAACAAACAAACATTAATTCCATCGCCTATCCATAACACAAAATCCACGTTCATATACTGATACTTGTATTGGGGAGGAATTTTGCCTGAATGAGAATAAAAGGGCTAAAAATAAATTTTCTGGAAATATGTGTGTGTGTGTGTGTACGTGTGTGTGTGTGTGTGTGTGTGTGTGTGTGTGTGTGTGTGTGTGTGTGTGTGTGTGTGTGTGTGTGTGTACGTGTATGTACAAAACAAATATGCAAATAAAAAACTCTATTTTTCTAGTTCGTTTTTTATAAATAGTTCAGAATTTAGGATATAGCGCGCACAAGGCCAAGTCACATTTGCTTACTGTTGTTATCTGTTATAGTAGCGTTGTTGCTGTTGTTGTTGCTGCTGCTGTTGTTGTTTCTGTTGTTGTTGTTGTTGCTATTTGATGTCATACTAACTATCTCTTTGGTAATCGATATATCTTTAAATGTTTAAATGTGTTGTTAAATTTCTCTCGTTTCCCTCTCCCTTTCTTTCTCCCCCCCTCTCTCCATCTTTCTCTCTCTCTGTCACCTTTTTTATATATCACTCTCTCTCTCTCTCTCTCTCTCTCTCTCTCTCTCTCTCTCTCTCTCTCTCTCTCTCTCTCTCTAATAGTAGTATTAGTAGTAGTAGTATCAGCAGTAGTAGTAGTAGTACTAGTAGTAGTAGTAGTAAAGTAGCAGTAGTAGTAGTAGTAGCAGTAGTAGTAGTAGAATTAGAAGCAGTTATAGTAGTAGTGGTACAACTTTTACTTAATTTTTTCATACAATTATTATCGGCGTTGCGTTTTTTAAGAATAATTTTTTCTCCAAAACGGTTTAGGAATGTCTGTCTCAAGAGTTTACCGCAAAAATTATAAAATTAATAATAAATAATAATTATAATAATAATAATAAAGTCATTTATAGTAGTAATAGTAACAGTCGTACTAGAAGCAGTCGTTGGTGTGGCTGTGGTAATGATAAGAGTAGTAGCAGTAGTAGGTAGTAACTTCGATACTAAGTAGAAATCATCCTTTAAGGATAATGATGATAATAATAATTTTACTACTACTAAATTTTACTATTACTACTACTAATAGTAATAATAATAATTATTATTATATTTATAATTATAGTTATAATTATTGTTATTTAAGATTTTTTATCTTAAATTTCAATGAAACAATCCTTGTTGAATTGAAACGACCAAAAAAATGTTTTTGTGGCTGAAATATTTAAAATTAGATTACAACCGAATACTAAATGTACGAATATGTACATAATAATAATTATGATAATAATAATAATAACAATTAATATTATAATAGTAGAAATAATAGTAATTATCATAGTTGTATTAGTCTGTCTAGGATATTTAAGCCTAAAACCAGACAGCGTTTAACCATTGTAATTGCGATTTCCAAATTTTCTGATTGTCGTTTTCTTGAATCGTTATCAAGGTTTCTTTATTATTATTATTAAGTTGATTTTTTTAGTTTAATTAATTTTTATTTAGTTATTTAGTTTTCTTTAGCTTATCTAGTTATAATTTTATGTAATTATTATTATATTATATATATATATTATTTAGGAATTTTTTTCCGTAGTCAGAATGGGTTTTGATATTCCAGAGCCATTTCAGTGGGACGAGTCATTCCTCGTTTCGGTTTGTGCGTGTTCAAATTTTCATTTTACAATTTTTAGTTTTTGTGAAATTATTATTTCAGTATATTTGTCACATAAATTAGATTATTATTTGCATAATTTGGCATTTAATTATCATATATTAGTGAATAATTAATGTGAATTTGTGATTTTTTAGCCTAAAATTAACGAGTATTATTTATTGATACACACATACAGGCGTGAATCCCGTTAAAAATTGTGTCAAACTTTTACTAGAAAATCCAAAAACTACAATTATTGTATTATAATATTCAATAATTATTATTATGATTAAAAATAATTATAAATATTATATTTTTTTCATTTATTTATTTATTTATAAATTTTAGTACGATAAGCTGGACGATGAGCACAAGGGTTTATTCCAGGGAATCAAAAGTGTCAGCGAATCGCCTTCCTGCAGTGAAACTCTGGAAAAGTTGGTCCAACTCATCAAACAGCATTTCTTAGATGAAGAGGTTGTAGTAGTAGTTGTTGTTGTCGTTGTAGTAACTGTAGCAGCAGCAACAACAGTAGTAATAGTAGTAGTAGTAGTAGTAGTAGCAGCAGCAGTAGTAGTAGTAGTAGTAG